CCCAAAACTTTGTCTTCAAAATAAGGGTGTATCTTATACACCGGTGTGTCGTATATTCCGAAAAATACGGTATATCATCACTAATTAGAAGGGACTAATACTTTTAGAATTTGTTACTGTTTACAGAAGTGTACATTAATTTCCTTCTATGTAGGATGAAGAGCTTAAATCTACAATTGAGGAGAGTGGACGATTACAGCGGGCATATGAGAAGTATTTTGATCTAACGTTAGTAAACAACAATTTTGATAAAACTTTTGAGCTTCTTCAAGAAGCAATTAATTCCTTGAGCACAGAGGACCAGTGGATTCCAGTGTCATGGGTGTACTAGAATTCCAGAGACACTAGTATCTAGGATAATAAGAATACAAGTATTCCTGATGTAATTTTTATCTCGTTGTTAAAGGCTAAAACTCGAGCAGTTTATCCTCCACTTATAGATGGATGGTATCTTCCATGTTTAGATGTTTACTGATGTGGAAAGCAGCTAAACTATGATATGTTTCTCATCACTAGCATTCATTATATTTGGAGGATTGTACAGATTTGCCAAGTACTTGAACTGATAGATCATTCAGTGAAACAATGTAAAATTTACTTTTTTATCTGAATTAAAGCAAGCCCATTGGTTTGGGGCTGTACTTTTTTATGTTGTTAATACAGAATTAATATCTTTCTTCCTCTTTATTTTTGTGATTCAGAAAGTGATATTAACATTGTTTTATTCTGTTAACACCAAGTTCTTAGTTACACAAGATGCTGGGGTTTATATGAAGCGCATTCCATGATCTTATCAGTTAATTGTTAGTATTGTTAACAAATTTACTGGTATATTACAGGTGTGTGTAGCTAATGACAAAATCACTATAATTAGACTTATAATACATTTGGTTTATAACATATTTTAGAACTGTTTGAGGTTAGAAATATAGTCCTTCTACTACGATTTGTGCAAGATAGTTAAATATTAGGGTAAATTTTGCATTCTGAAGTTGTAAAAAGTTTGCTATTTTTTTCCTGGAAACAATTGGTAGTGAAAGATTCTCTTGTATTTACATTATTGTACTTTTCATCTGATATGACATATAAACTGTACTGATGATTCTTAAACGTGGCAGCTAATAATATTTGGGTTTGTCATAAATCCTTCTTGAAACTGTATTAGTGAATTCAGTTTGTGTCAAAAGTCAACATAAAAATATTGTCACTGGGTGCTTTGAACTGTTATTAATGTAATGTTACATCTGAGGATTTTCAGTAATTGGTGAATCTTTTTTTTATTCAATATTTGCAAATCTATTGCAAAAATCTGTTTGGGTTAGGAAAATAGTTTAAATAAAGTGTTTATATTGTAGTCTTGTAAAAACAAAATAATATATCATATAGTAAATTAAAGAAACATTCTTGAAAGCTTAAATATAGTATTTTTATAGTTATAAAAATGTTAACTGCTTGTAGATTTTGAGATTATTTAGCAAAGTCTAATTAAGTGTGTTGGTCAATTTTATGTTGTTCATCACAAATAGAAACCTTTTTTTTCCACAATTTCGTTCATAGTGATGAAGATACAAGTGTTATTTAGAAATATAGTTGCTTTGTGGTACTGTAGGTATAAAAATGGAGTATGATGTAATTCGTTTTATAGATTTATTTATTTAAATAGGCCAGATTTGACACCCAAGAATTACAATGTCTTGTTAAATTTTATTCCTGTTTGTTTTGTGGAGAAATTTGTGAATGTAACAGGAATTAATCGTGGTACGTCATTAAAATCTTATTTTAATAAATATACTTTGAGTCTGATATTTATATTTCTTGCTGGTTTTTATTTTGATTTAACTCAAAAAAATTAAAAGGTGTAATAGTTTTACACTTCTGGTTTTATCATAATACAAATACATCAAAGTTTCTTTTTCATCAACACAGTATTAAGAGGATTTTTCTTTCTTTTGCATCATCACCTAATTATTGTAACGAAATACAGTTTCAATTACTTTTTGCAAATATTTATGTATATGGCTGAATATTAGTAGTACAAATGAAAAACGTTAACATTCCTTTGTCGTTGTCCCCCCCCCCTTAGTTTTTCCTCATTTTAACTGCTTACATTGATTTATATCCTATATGAATTGAGTTTTAATATAAATGAAGTGAGTCAGTTTTAACGAAGTACTCCGATATTCTTTATGATGAATGTGAAAAAGTAAAAATGGCTTCTCTATATTTGGTTTGTTTTGAATCATGGTTTACAATTGCTCAATAATCAACAGCATTCTGTTTGTGTTTAGTCTATATATTTATCATGCAGTGGTTTCATTAAACATCCAAAAACTCAAGTCTTATTGTGACAGGATAGATTTTATACATTATAAACTGTGTTTACAGTATGTAATAATTTACTGTTTTTGTTCTTAAACTTTGTATTTAAATTTACAAATAAATAATTTGCAAATTGGTTGGGAGTGAAGAGGTGTTTATTTTATTTATTTTTATCACACAGGTGATAGATATATACCCGAAGCTCTGTCAGGGTTTCAAACCAGTTCAACTAAGCTTCAGTTATTCAAGGTCCCCCAGTGGGACAGCAGTAAGTCTGCGGATTTACAACGCTAAAATCAGGGGTTAGATAGCCCGATGTAGCTTTGATATGAAAAAACACACACAAACAAAACATACAGTTATTCTATAGTTGCGAGTAGCAAACCGTTATGGACGAATATTTAACACTCACTGGTCGAAATATCAATGTCAATAATCTCGGGTTACTAATCTCATTATACTGTTTATGAAGAAATAAAAACTGAAATCGAGAAGGAATCGAACTTGCAACCCTAATACTCGACCAACTAAGTCATCTATAGTTATTAACGCTGGTGACAATTAGTGTTGGTCAAGATGATCTCATGGTAGCTTCAGGCATATTTTAAAATAATTTTTATGATGTTTTATGTGTGCAATAATGACAGAAGGAATTTGACAAAACGTAGGGAACATTAGAGATGTTTAAGAAAGTGATGCTTATAAAAATAAAAACTTCTAGTATGGTGTGTTATTTAGTTTCATCGTTGTTTCCAAATATGTTGTGTAAAAAATATTAATAGCAGACTAAGAGAAATGGATTAACATTGTCACCATTCTGTAGGAAGGTAATGGTTAAAACAGAAGTTTCAAATGAAAATACGATATCCTATAACCCCGCACGCTTTGCCCCATGAAAAAGCAAGGTCTACCTTTCGAAATAGCTCTGGTTATAGGGTATCGTATTTTTGTGCTAAATTGATTTTTTGTACCTACGTGTTTTCCCAACATCATGAAGGTTAAGGGAACGTACTCTTAAGAATCTTTGATACAGACTACGGGAACTGGGTTAACATTGCTACTATTTTGTAGGAAGGTGATGGTTATAAAGGAGTTTTTAAAAGTACTGTTTGCTTTTATACTGTATAGATTCATCCCATTATGAAGTATTAATAATTCTTGTTTGTATTTATTTTAATTATAGAAAATTAATATATTACGACAAATCGTGCTTTAAATGGATTTTTTTTTTTTTACACTTAAACGTAAAAACAGGAATTTTATTGCAGGTTGTTGTTTATTGTCTTATGCCGAAAGCTTATTCGTTTTTGGTTATAAGAAACCTAACTGTATTTCTTTGGGTTGCTGACCCAAGCTGTGCTGACGAGCCTTGAATAGGTGAAACTGTAGTCAATAACAGAGGGTGAGGTTAATCAAGGAACGTATTAAGCCTCTACGTCATAAATTATATTTCAATTTTACCTTCGGTGAAATTAAAAGTCTGTTATATAATCATTAAATAGTTGATCCACTGTAATACCAATAATAAATCAGGTTACTATATGGTGAGTTAGAAAGGATTTAAACCAAAAAACAACAATAAACAAACCATAAATAAAATATAAGAACAATAAGAAAGTCATGGCAATCCAGTAAACATACTGATGCGTATCTGCTTGTTTGTTAATTTCCCGTAGAAATTAATTT